TCTTGTTCTCTCTTTGCAAAGATAAATAAAATGACGACTGATTGATTTACCATCTATCTCCTTTATTTAAGTGGATTGCACAGTTGAATGTTTTTTTTTTCCTACGACACATGTTATATTAAATACAATAAATCAGTCACTATCCAACCAAACCGCTCCAATAATCCATTTTTACTTTTAGAATCCCGGCCTGCCTTTTATGCCCGATAACTTCACTGTCCCGTTGTAAGTGATAAAAAATACTTTGCTGTTCTGATATATGAGAGTAATGGATGAAGTGGAAGCACTTTGCTTTGTACTATGGTGTTTCTACCTCAAATTCCATTATCTGCCTTATATACCTTATCTATATCATCTGCATTCTAACACCTTAAATCTCATTCTCATCCTTATACCATGGCCTATTACTCTACCTACAGATGTGTAAATCTACTGTTTTTGAAAAACACTGCTTAGTGGAACTTGTCTGGAGTTGATTTCACAAGGTTCTGTCAATCAACCAGTTAGGTTATTTTCTGGCCATAGTATAAAAGACACCTCTCACTTAACGAACTGAAGGTGTGGAAGTCAAACTTTCATTTAGTGTAGCCTGCAGTGATCAGCCAATATATTATGACCATTGCTGAGTAGCACAGGACTAATCAAATTGAAATGCACTTTATTGTGAAATGAAATTCATGTTCCAATATTCTGTAACAGCGTAATGAGACGATAGTGATCGTCATCGTCCTTCTCTGAGTGGTCACAATACTTTGGCATATGTATTGCTACATTTATTGTGAAATCTAAGTGCAACAAACACATGAAAACGAAAGAAAGATAAGAACATTACTGCATGATAAGTGTTTCGTGTCTCTGCTTCTGTCCCTCGTCATGTCCATGTTTTTTTTTTCCAATGTTAGCACTGCTCTGTCAAAATAAACTGCCAATTATTCATAAATATATATCTATATATCTATATAAATATATATAGACACACTATATTGCCAAAAGTATTTGCTTACTCATAAAAATGAGTGAAATTCTGTGTTCCAATTACTTCCATGGACACAGGTGTATAAAATGAAGCACCTGTAGGCCACCTGCACAAAAAAGTCAGCTGTATAATCAGAAGATGGAAGTACCGTAAATCCTCTAATATTGGCCTGTATTCCATTAACTACAGAGATCGTAGTGGCCACAATCCGCAAGTGATGAGGAGATTATGGGGAAAGAATTGGAGAATTTTTTTTTGTTGTTGTTTTACTACAAACTAAACACGACAATTTGAGTGAGCGGCAAGGTGATTAAAGCTATAAGTTGCCTTTTGTTATGAATAATGATCACCATGGAAAATGTTCAATAAGTTTGATTTGTGGAGAACAGCGTTAAAATGACAGATATCATTGGCCTTTGTTGTTCTGAATTTCCCTTGGGATGTACGATACCGTCTACGTCAAATAAAATGTCGCTCTGATGGCAGAACAGTTTTTGTCCCATTTTTTTTTAAACGTTGTTTGGAAAGTCAATTTGGCCAAGATTCCATTCTTCTTAGGCTTTTTTTTCTTTTCGTTTTGCCGTGCAGAAAATTGCAGCTGCTGGAAGACGNGGTGATTAAACCTGTAAGTTGCCTTTTGTTATGAATAATGATCACCATGGAAAATGTTCAATAAGTTTGATTTGTGGAGAACAGCGTTAAAATGACAGATATCATTGGCCTTTGTTGTTCTGAATTTCCCTTGGGATGTACGATACCGTCTACGTCAAATAAAATGTCGCTCTGATGGCAGAACAGTTTTTGTCCCATTTTTTTTTAAACGTTGTTTGGAAAGTCAATTTGGCCAAGATTCCATTCTCTCTAGGCTTTTTTTTCTTTTCGTTTTGCCGTGCAGAAAATTGCAGCTGCTGGAAGACGACTAAATTACCCGTACTTGTTGATAATGTTCTGTATATCGTTATATTAACTGTACTTTTTCAATAAACAAACTTAGTATTCTATAGGTTCAAATAGACACAAAATCTCTTTTTTTATTGATTCCACTGATAGTTTGTTTCGCTCAAATAGAAATAGAGGCCTGCCTCTAATTCTGGCCTCCTTCCAATAATGGCCTGGATCAAGATGTACCTGAGTGAAATAAAGGCCCCGTCCTATATTAGAGGATTTACGGTATCAGCAATGTAACCTCATGGAGTGGTGGGGGTGCTGGGGGGGCAGCAGATGCCGAAGAGCATAGTGCGAAGAGGTCATCAACTTTCTGCAGAGTAAATCACTACACACCTCCAAACTTTATGTGGCCTTCATATTAGCTCAAAGTACGCAGAGCTCCAAAGAATGGGATTCATTGGTCGAGCGGCTGCATCACCAGGTGCAATATAAAGCAAACTGCACTACAAAAACGATGTAGATATAAGTCAACATTTCTTAAATTAAGTGGATTAACCCTTAATTTGAGTAGGTAAATAAGACGATTTGCCAATGGAATTTACGGAGCCCCTCTGATGACATGGTCAAAAAAAATGTTTAATTGTGGCTACGAAGTAGTATTTTGCGGTCACGCAATAAGTATAACGTGCGCACGAAATACTACTTCGTAGCCACGCAATAAGTTTAACGTGCGCACGAAATACTACTTCGTGGCCACGCAATAAGTTTAACGTGCGCACGAAATACTACTTCGTGGCCACGCAATAAGTTTATCGTGCGCACGAAATACTACTTCGCGGCCACGCAATAAGTTTATCGTGCGCACGAAATACTACTTTGTGGCCACGCAATAAGTTTATCGTGCGCATGA